AAAATTGGGAGACACGGCTGCAGTTACAGTCATCGTCCACTCGTAAGCTCCATCCCACACCCGCCTTCTTCACGGAGCTTCTCCGCCTGCTCTAGCGACGCAGCAATCAAGTCCTCGTGCAGCGGGGGCACCCAGTTTAGCCCTAAAACATCCTCCCTGCAGTGACTGTCCTAGGGTGCTCGCTTCTGAGGACAGAGAGGGCGAGCTTCCTTCATGCTCCTTTTGCATGTTCACGGCGCTTGGGAAAATCTTCTGGTTGGAGTTAAGGGGAGCTTAAATTACGCTGGACAGACCCCCAGAGCTGGATCTGCACAGAGCAGATCTGTGGCTGGTGGAGGGGAGGACGGTGGCCTGGGTGCCCACTGGGGACAGAGGACTCCCCAGTGGTGGCCAGTCTCCTGCTTCCACACCCTGTGGCATTTTCAAGGGTAACACTGGAACAGGAGAGGGGATTTTTTACATGAAACAGGCACGAGTTCTGTTTAATGAGAGCTTGAGACGGAAGCTGGGGAGATCATGACTTCTTGACAGTGTAATTACAGGCCACTTTTCAACACTAAATTATGGTTGTTTAACCAGGCACTGGCCCAGTTTTGGTTAGCATCAGAGAAGAGTGGCCTGCCTCTGCTTTCAGCAGTGAACTGACACTGTCTTTGAAATTGGAGAACCGGGGAAGTACATCCATGCTGGAGTGGCTGCTTGTATTAAGAATATTCCTGAAAAATTATGTGCAAATTGATTCCTATAAATATTTTCCCCTTGGCTGACATAATATCAGAGTATCATTTCTGATTGATCGTCAGGCATCCCTGAACGCTTTCTCTTTTGGTTTCCTAAGTAGCTAATTGTCTGTAAATGTGTGAGGGTGGGAGCTTTTTATTTAAAGCAATAAGCTATTTTAAGTAAATCCTTTTGTAAGGCAAAGAACCCTAGTTTATTCTCCCTGGCTTGATCCCTCAAATAAACGGGCTTTCTCTTGTATATAATTGTTAATGTGCTACAATTAGCTCACCGTGTACCTGGTTCTTGAGGGTAGAGCAGTGCAGTGGGGAAGGAGGGTGGTCTGGGGAGAACAACAGCCTGGTGCTTCCTGCTCTCACATAATCTCCCCCGAGTCCTGAGGCCGGTACTATTACCCCACTTAGCAGATGAGGGAAATGAGGTTTGGAAGAGGTTAAGTCTGTGTCCGAGGTGGCACAGAAGGTATGAGAGATGCCAGGACCCAGTCCAAAGCTGCATCCCCACCCAGCCTGGAGGCAGGCCCGGTGCTCACAGGCCTCCGTATCCAGGCCTTTCAAAGGGAAGTAAAGTGGGAGGGCAGTTTAGATGCCATTCTTTGTTGTTTTTTTTTTCAATTGAAGTATATTTAGTTTACAATGTTGTGTCAATTTCTGGTGTACAGAATAATGTTTCAGTCATACACATACACACATATATTCCTTTTCTATTATCTTTCATTATAGTTACAACAAGATATTGAATATAGTTCCCTGTGCTCTACAGTAGGACCTTGTTTTTTTTTTATCTATTTTATATATAGTAGTTAGTGTCTGCAAATCTTGAACTCTTCAATTTATCCCTCCCTGCCCCCTTCCTCCCTGGGTAACCATAAGTTTGTTTTCTATGTCTGTGAGTCTGTTTTTGTTTTGTGAATAAGTTCATTTGTGTCATTTTTTTTTAAGATTCCACATATGAGTGATATCATATGGTGTTTTTCTTTCTCTTTCTGGCTTCCTTCACTTAGAATGATGATCTCCAGGTCCATCCATGTTGCTGCAAGTGGCATTGTTTTATTCTTTTTTATGGCTGAGTAGTATTCCATTATCTATATATACCACAACTTCTTTATCCAGTCATCTTTCAATGGACTTAGGTGCTGTACTTGAAGGCCACCCTCACTTCTAGCTCTTTGAGCCATTTTTGGGGTTGAGAACTGTATCCTTCAAGAAAGGAAATGGATTCTCTCTGGATACAGTTTCCCTGGTGGCTCCACTGTGGCCATGAAGATTGGTGGAAAATGAACGGTGACTCCGTGTTTCTCTCCCAACCCTCCTGACCCCTGTGGGCTCTGCCAGGTCACCTCTTCCTTTACTTTCTCTTCTCCAGGATGAAGGCCATCCTTCCAGACAACCAGATGATATAGAGCAGCAAAAAGCTCAGTTGCCTGGTTTTAACGTTCTTAATGACCAGGAGTTCTCATATTTTACAGACTCTTTAAATAGAGCCACACACACACACAAATTCAAATTTACAAAGACTTGAAAAAATTAATAAATAGACATCTCAAATAAATAGAGTTCAGAGACCAGAATGGGGGGCTCTTGTGCCCTGCACAGAGCCAAGCAGGAAGAAAAAAGATTCAACTTCTTTCCTGGCAAGGACTCAGCCAATGAAAAGCCATGGACTCTTTGCTTACTGTCACCCTCCCAGCCGCCTTTTCCCATCTATAAAAGGGTCTCCTTTCCTTCCCCAACTCACAGAGATTTGAATGCGACTCACCATGGTTGCAGACCCTGACTCTCAACTCTTTGCTGATCCCAAGTGAAATAACTGGCAGTCTGTTTGTTTCAGGTCAATGCTTTGGTGGCCCCTTCGGGGACCAGGAAAACCCCCAATGGCTCCAGGGCTGGTGAGAAACATGTGTGGTACCCACACGGGGCCCACTGTGCTCGCTGCTTTCTCTCCGACCTGGGAGTTTGAAAGTACTTCTTTCTCCTGGATTCGAGCTCCCACCCTCCTTGCATTTGAAGCTTTATTCGATATCTATTTAAAAGTTCATCTTTCAGAATAAGGCCCTGTTCTGTATGTGAGAACTCATTTGGCACTTTGGTCTGAACTGAGATCAGACAGTTTCACTGGAGCTGGCTGAGCTGCCTTTGGCCCATTCTCTTTGGAATAGGGGCTGCCTCTCCCAAACTGACTAGCTGCCACCCCATTCCTTTAGGAACAGGGGCTGTTGCTCTGAAGCTGTGCTGGTTTTTCAGCCTTCAGCCCATTCCTCTGAAAGGGCTATTCTCTGGAAACTTGCTAAAAATGCCTTCGGTTTGCCTCCTCCAGGACCAAGCTGTTTCCTTAGAACTGACTGGGATTGGCTTGCGAACAGGTTGAATTGAGCCACTGTGCTGTAGTTTTTCAAGCTGTTTGAAAATTGTTCTTTAGAGAGAAACCTCTGAGGTGCAGGAATCCCAGTTATCTGAGTATTTTCCGGTGCCTCCCCCACCCCCCACAGGGAGTCTGGCTGATTGTACGTTTAAAAGCCGTGGCCCTTCCTCACACACATTGCTAACTGAAAGGACCAACCTGACCAAAGGCAACTCAGAATATCAGGGGCCACTATGGGAGCTTTTGAAATCCCCAGGCTTAATTTCTTTAAAGCTGGGTCAGGCTATAAAAGCTCAGAAATGTCCAGAACTGAGTTGAACAATTATTTTGATTGGTATTTTGAGGTGTCCCAATATTATCAGGAGAGTCTGCACAATGAGACGTTAAGATTAACTGAGGTGAACGATTGAAGAAAGCTAAAGCGGCTCCTGAAGCCTCAGGCTCCTGTTCCCTGGCTTCTCTGCCTCCGGTGCCCCCTCTGATGCCGCCTTGTCTCTCTCCCTCAGCTCCTCGTGGCCAGACGCCACTCCAGGGCCATCTTCCTCTTCCTCTTCAGTGCTGACTGGGCCTCCACTGTCCCCTCAGTTCCCTCGTCCCAATCCCCCATCCTCCTCTCTGAAACTCTCCCCATTCTCTTTTCCTTGAACCTGTCAGAACTTGTTCCTTTAATATGAAGCCTTCTGGGAATAATCCAGAGTCTAAACACTTAATTTATTATATTCCCTGGACTGAAACTGAACTATGAGCCACAGTCAAAGATTTTCCCAAAGTGACCAGAGATTCTCACAGATTTGCTGAGGAATTTAATAGAATCATTCAAACTCATCAACCTGGCTTCTCTGACTTATATCAGCTGGTTCATATGCTGTGGTGAAGGCCTGACCCAGCACGGGATGAAAACTGCTCGTGGGGAAAATCCGGAAAGGTTTCTAGAATTACAACCTGGAGACCAGCCCGCTTAGTTATTATATAACCAGGCTCGTGCAATCACTTGGTTATGTCCTCTGGCAATTTCTAAGGCTTTTCCAGAGCCTGCTGATGGGAACAAAATTCAGGCTTGCACACAAAAATCTGATGAACTGGTTACAGTCAACTTCAGATTGTTTTTAAAGAAAAGTCTGGTTTTCCTTCAGATGTTGATTCCATCTGGGTAGCTTTTAACTATACTTACCAAAGGGCTTTACCAGACCTTCCCTTCCAGTAAAAAGGATCAGGATGGAATGAGAAACCACATCCACTCCAGATTTAGTTAATCTGGTAAGGCAGCCCTCTCACACACTAGATGAGTCATCTAAAAGGAAGAGTACCACGATTCTTAATCTTCAACTCTGTCAAACGAAGTCTCCTCAGATAAACCCAGACTCTCCTACTTTCTGCTGCTACTGCAAG